ACCGCCGGCGGTGGCGGCCCCTGGCGGCTCCTGGAGGCACTGCGCCCTCGTAGCCCATCCAGGTTCGGGACGAACAGTTGCTTGGTGCCACAACTGAACCGGCAGACGTTGCCGTCTTTCCCTAAGCGACACGACACGAGAAACCTACTTTCTCTTTTTATCTGAAAGTTCTGAAATATATCAATTTAAACGTTTGGGGCCGGGCGCGGTGGCTCACACCTTTAATCCTAGCACTTTGGGAGGTCAAGGTGGCAGGACTGCTTGGGCTCAGGAGTTCAAGACTAACCTGGCCAACATGGCAAGACTCCGTCTCTGTTACAAAAAAGATTAAAAGAAAAAAAGGACAAAGTTTTGATTCCACGATTCTTCCACAAGTATTAACATTTATTGAATAGGTTATATATATATATATATATGAAAAATAATGTGAAAAAATAATCAATTTCAATACATAACTAAGACTAATAAATGTGAGAATTACGATTAAAACAACATACATGTTTTAAAACTTGACAGTGTATAATATAGCTGTCAGGTCCACGACTATGCCAACTGTCATGCCCACAGCCAGGTTCCAGCCCATATGGAGCTCTGAGGTGAGTGGGTGGATGAGCAGATAGCAAAAGAACACTCGGGACGGCAGGCAGGTGAAAGATGATTTTATTCAGCAGCAGCTCTCATCCGCAGCTTACTTACACTAGTTCTCTCACACTGTCCACCTTGTCTCGGCTGCTTAGTCCTGTGGCTCTGACACACAGCTGCGAGGCTGCTCTCCCTTGCCTTCAGGGTCAGCAGCTTAACTCTTTCTCTCAGCTGTGTTCTGGCTCCCCCACATCTGTCTGCAAAGACGGACAGCTCTGGCTCTCTCTTTCTCTGGGCATGAACGCCTGTACAGTATTAGCAGGGCAATTATATCTTTTACAGAAAATAGTGGCTTAGAGCCAAGTGATGGCCTTCCCATGTTACGGCTACATGGCTGTGATAACAAGTGGAGTTATACGCCTGTGTCTAAACTTGCTGAGTCACGCAGGATGTAAACATCTTACCTTGGCCTATCCTTGACCAAAGCACAGCCATGTTCCTTACAATAGCTAACAAAAATAGGTAAGCGAGGGAGGAGTTTAGGCGAATTCCTATTTCTAAGCAGGGCGTCAAAGGATATTGACGGAAATTGAAACACATGGGATAGTGACTCCAAATTCTGAAATCTGCCTGAATGAACGATCCAATAATGCCATCAGTTTTACCTCAGTTTCTTTTTATTTTTGTTAAATCCAAGTAAAATAAAATGTAATGGTATGCTGCCAGGTGCGGTGGCTCACACCTGTAATCCCAGCACTTTGGGAGGCTGAGGCAGGTGGATCACCTGAGGTCAGGAGTTCAAGACCATCCTGGACAACATGGTGAAACCCCGTCTCCACTAAAAATACAAAAATTAGCCGGGTGTGGTGGCAGGTGCCTGTAATCCCAGCTACTCAGGAGGCAGGAGGCTGAGACAGAAGAATCGCTTGTACCCAGGAGGCGGAGGTTGCAGAGAACTGAGATTGCGCCATTGTACTCTAGCCTGGGCAACAAGAGTGAAACTCCATCTCAAAAAAAAAAAAAGAAAATTGAATATCTGTTAAGTACTCATTGTTGAGGCTGCAACAGTGAGCAAGCCAGACATGCAAGCCTGGTTCAGTGACTCACCTCTGTAATCCCAGCACTTTGGGAGGCCAAGGGAGGTGGATCACTTGAGCCCAGGAGTTTGAGACCAGCCTAGGCAACATAGGGAGACCCTGTCTCCACAAAAAACTTAAAAAATTAGCCAGGCGTGGTGGTGCATGTCTGTGGTCCCAGCTGCTCGGGAAAGATGAGGTAGGAGGACCAATTGAGCCCAGGAGGTCAAGGCTGCAGTGAGCTATGATTGTACCACTGCACTCCAGCCTGGGCAACAGAGTGAGACTCTGTCTCCCAAAAAATGTAGCTCTAAGCTTAGGAGGAACCTAATAGCCTGCTAAGTTCACACTTGGGGCCATCTCTTCCCGTGACCTATCTAGTATTTCAGTGTTACATGTATGTATATATGTATTTATTGAGATGGGGTTTCACCGTGTTAGCCAGGATGGTCTCAAACTCCTGACCTCGTGATCTGCCTGTCTCGGCCTCCCAAAGTGCTGGGATTACAGGCGTGAGCCACTGAGCCTGGCATCAATGTTACATTTAA